GGATCCCCTCCCTGAGCTGCTGCTCACGCTCTGGGGGTGCAGCCCAGCACACGGGGGGGTTCTGGGCTCAAGCACACTAAAGCTGGACCATATCCAATCTGTCATCCCTTCAATCCAAGCATGGAAAGGGCCCCATCCCAATCCCACCCCAGGGCTCAATCCACACGAGCCCCTGTTCTCTCGCACATCCACATTCACTGACAGGGCAATGGGCACAGACTGGGGGCTGTTGGGTTTCCCACTGAATGACTTAGAGCCACGCTGGGTATTGTGAAGCCCTTGGCCTCCTGCAGGGTGGGTTTTCCTCATGGATGAGCAATCACCTCTTGGCCAGGTTGAGGATCACTGGGGAGGGGGTTTCATTGGCATTTGGTGATCAACAGTGTGAATGTGATGTCCTCATGGGCTGCAGGCTGTGCCCAGGAGGGGGAAAGAGCCACTTTCAGCACCGTTCCCCTTCCATTCCTCTCTACAAAGCTTCATTTCTGTTCATTTCTATACAAATGAAGCATTTTTGATAAAAACAGATTTAGATTTATATATGAAAATACAGAAAATAAAGGAGGAAGCTTTCAGCTGAACTTAGATAGAGGGAGATGTTCAGCTGTGGCCAAGCTGAGCTTAATTGAGCTTGATCCCAGTTGAAAGGAAAATCATCCATTTCCCACTTTTCCCCTCAATTTAGGTGTCACATTCCCACCTGCCCTTGTTCCAGGGACAGGGTTTAACCCTGTGCCCATCCCCGTGGTGTTGGGTAGTGGGGAGACCTCAGAGCAGCTTCCAGTGTCTGAAGGGGGCTATAAGGATGCTGGGGAGGGCTCTTCATCAAGGACTGCAGTGATAGGACAAGGGGTGATGGGTTCACACTGAAACAGGGGGAGTTCAGGTTGGAGATAAGGAAGAAGCTCCTGGGACTGGATGAGCTCTGAGGTCCTTTCCAACCCAAACCCCGCTGTGATCCTGTTCTCTCATTCTAACCCCGGCCCCTCTGTTCCATTCACAGTGCCTGGAAGATGGCCGTGCTGGAGGCTAAATCCACCCCGGTGAGGCTCCATCCCAGCCTGGGCTCCGGGCAGGATGTGGGACAAGATCCCAGCCAATCCCAGCATCCCCTCCCCGAGCCCCTGTGCCTGTGGGCATCCTCAGGGAATCCCACAGAGCCAGGCAGGAAAAGCAGGAGGCAGCACTGGTGACCTTGGCCTCCTTAAGATGCTCAGGGGTGATGTGCAGGGCCAAGGTGACAAACAGGGCACAACTGAAGGGGACAGGGGCAGGGTTAAGGGGAATGGGGGCAAAGCTATAGGGTCAGCAGGCCCAGAGGGGTGTGGGGACACAGTGCTGAGGGGGCACAGCTGAGGTGACAGGGAAGGGGTAGAGGATGGGGAAGAGATACAGGAATGGGAGCAGAGTTAAGGGAATGGGGGCACAGGCTCATGGGGACACAAGGTGCTGGGGGACACAGCGAAGGGGATGGGGACAGGATTTAAGGTGCCAGGGGCAGGATTAAGGTACTAGGGACAGGGTTAAGGTGCCAGGGGCAGGGTTAAGGTGCCAGGGGCAGGGTTGAGGTGCCAGGGGCAGGGTTAAGGTACCAGGGGCAGGGTTAAGGTACCAGGGGCAGGGTTAAGGTATCAGGGGCTGGGTTAAGGTGCCAGGGGCAGGGTTAAGGTGTAAGGGGCAGGGTTAAGGTGCCAGGAGCAGGGTTAAGGTATCAGGAGCAGGGTTAAGGTATCAGGGGCAGGGTTAAGGTGCCAGGGGCAGGGTTAAGGTACCAGGAGCAGGGTTAAGGTGTAAGGGGCAGGGTTAAGGTGCCAGGGGCAGGGTTAAGGTACCAGGGGCAGGGTTAAGGTACCAGGAGCAGGGTTAAGGTACCAGGGGCAGGGTTAAGGTGGAAGGGGCAGGGTTAAGGTACCAGGGGCAGGGTTAAGGTACCAGGGGCAGGGTTAAGGTGCCAGGGGCAGGGTTAAGGTGGCAGGGGCAGGGTTAAGGTACCAGGGGCAGGGTTAAGGTACCAGGGGCAGGTTTAAGGTGCCAGAGGCAGGGTTAAGGTACCAGGGGCAGGGTTAAGGTACCAGGGGCAGGGTTAAGGTGCCAGAGGCAGGGTTAAGGTGCCAGGGGCAGGGTTAAGGTACCAGGGGCAGGTTTAAGGTACCAGGGGCAGGGTTAAGGTACCAGGGGCAGGGTTAAGCTGATGGAGGCAGGGTTAAGGTGCCAGGGGCAGGGTTAAGGTACCAGGGGCAGGGTTAAGCTGATGGAGGCAGGGTTAAGGTGCCAGGGGCAGGGTTAAGGTACCAGGGGCAGGGTTAAGCTGATGGAGGCAGGGTTAAGGTGCCAGGGGCAGGGTTAAGGTACCAGGGGCAGGGTTAAGCTGATGGAGGCAGGGTTAAGGTGCCAGGGGCAGGGTTAAGGTACCAGGGGCAGGGTTAAGCTGATGGAGGCAGGGTTAAGGTGCCAGGGGCAGGGTTAAGGTACCAGGGGCAGGGTTAAGCTGATGGAGGCAGGGTTAAGGTGCCAGGGGCAGGGTTAAGGTACCAGGGGCAGGGTTAAGCTGATGGAGGCAGGGTTAAGGTGGCAGGGGCAGGGTTAAGGTACCAGAGGCAGGGTTAAGGTGCCAGGGGCAGGGTTAAGGTGTCAGGGGCAGGGTTAAGGTGCCAAGGGCAGGGTTAAGGTGCCAGGCGCCCAAACAAGTGATTCAGGTGCCCCCCCCACACTGATGGGGGAAACTGAGGCAGTGACAGGGGCAGAGCCCCCCCTACCCCTCACCCCCCCTCTCCAGGTTCACGTCTATGACCCCTATGACGATGACTACTACCAGACAGTGCCCCTCGACTCCCACCAGGCCGCCTACATCAGCTCCGGCCACTACGGCCCCCAGCATGGAGGTGGGTACCCCCATCCCCATCCCACCATAGCCTCCCATTGAGGCTTCATTGGGGTGGCCCAGAACGGGGCCTCCCCATCCCCATCCCCACCCCAGTGGCACCATGGGGAGGGCCCGTGGGGTGATGTCCCCCTCTTGCCTTGCAGCTCCGGGGGTGACCCACGTCATCGTGCGCGAGGATCCCTACCGGGTCTCTGGGGACCAGATGGCGCTGGGGCTGCTGGCGGGGGCCGCCACTGGTGCTGCCCTGGGCTCCTTCATGTGGATGCCCTGCTGGTTTTAGCAGCCTCCCCCCGCAGGATGTGACCCCCAGCAGGTCCCTCTGGCACCTCCCCAGCCTGGTTTAACTCCCCCCTGCCTTGGGACACACCTGGAGCAGCCTGCGCGGAACCCCTGACCTGCTGGGGACAGAGCCCCAGACCCATCCCATATCCCATTCCCAAACCCATCCCATTCCCAGCCCCAAACCTATCCCATATCCCAGCCCCAAACCCATCCCATATCCCATTCCCATTCCCAAACCTATCCCATTCCTGGCCCCAAACCCATCCCGTATCCCATTCCCAGCCCCAAACCCATCCCATTCCCATTCCCAAACCCATCCCATATCCCATTCCCAGCTCAAACCCACCCCATATCCCATTCCCAGCCCCAAACCCATCCCATACCCCATTCCCAGCCCCAAACCCATCCCATATCCCATTCCCAAACCCATGCCATATACCATTCCCGGCACTAAACCCATTCCATATCCCATTCCCAGCACTAAACCTATCCCATATCCCATTCCCAAACCCATCCCATATCCCATTCCCAGCCCCAAACCCATCCCATATCCCATTCCCAAACCCTTCCCATATCCCATTCCCAGCCCCAAACCCATCCTATATCCCATTCCCAAATCCATCCCATATCCCATTCTTGGCCTCAAACCTATCCCATATCCAATTTCCAGCCCTAAACCCATCCCATATCCCATTCCCAAACCCTTCCCATATCCCATTCCCAGCCCCAAACCCATCCCATATCCCATTCCCAAACCCATCCCATATCCCATTCCCGGCCCCAAACCCATCCCGTATCCCATTCCCAAACCCATCCCATATCCCAACCCCAAGCCCAAACCCATCCCGTATCCCATTCTCAGCCCCAACCCCCCCCATATCCCTCTCCCAGTCCCAACCCCATCCCGTATCCCGCTTCCAGCCCCACATCCTGCTCCCAGCTCCAGCTTGTGCATTAAACAACCCCCGTGTGCTACAGAACCCCCACCCCAGGACCCCACAGCGCCCGGTTCCCATTGCCAAGGGCACGGGGGGGGGCACAGAATGTGTCCCATGCCCCCCACAGAACGGGCTCAGTTCCGCATCCCAAACCCTGCAGGGAGCTGGAGGGGGAAAGAGCGCGAGCAGCAGGGTGAGGGAGGGGATCCTGCCCCTCTGCTCGGCACTGGGGAGACCCCCCCTGCAGCACTGGGGGCAGCTCTGGGGTCCTCAGCATAAAAAGGACACGGAGCTCTTGGAGCAAGTCCAGAGGAGGCCACGAGGATGCTCAAGGGCTGGAGCAGCTCCTGTATGGAGCCAGGCTGAGAACATTGGGGCTGTTGAGCCTGGAGAAGAGAAGCTGCGTGGAGACCTCAGAGCAGCTTCCAGTGTCTGAAGGGGGCCTATAGGGATGCTGGGGAGGGACTCTTCATTAGGGACTGCAGTGATAGGACAAGGGGTGATGGGTTCAGACTGAAACAGGGGGAGTTTAGATTGGAGATAAGGAGGAAATTCTTCCCTGTGAGGGTGCTGAGGCACTGGAATGGGTGCCCAGGGAGGTTGTGAATGCTCCATCCCTGGCAGTGTTCAAGGCCAGGTTGGACAGAGCCTTGGGTGCCATGGTTTAGAGCGAGGTGTCCCTGCCCATGGCAGGGGGTTGGAACTGGATGATCTCAAGGTCCTTTCCAACCCAAACCATTCCATGATTCTATGATTTGGAGCCAGGGAGGTACCTGGGAAGGGGATGTGGGTTCAGCAGCCCCAGCTGGGCCCAGCAAAGCCAATGGCCCAGCAGGGAACTGGGGCTGTGCTGGGGAGGGAGCAGGCACTGGAGTGGGAATTGGCAGGAGAGGCAGCCCCTGGGCTGCTCAAGGTGGGAATTGTGGCTGAATCCTGGGGAATGGGGGTTGAACCCTTCGGAATTGGGGCCAAACCCTTGGGAATGGGAGTGAAACCCTTGGGAATTGGGGCTAAACCGTTGGGAATGGGAGTTAAAACCTTGGGAATTGGGGCTAAACCCTTGGGAATTGGGGTTAAACCCTTGGGAATTGGGGCTAAACCCTTGGGAATAGGAGTTAAACCTTTGGGAATTGGGGCTAAACCCTTGGGAATAGGAGTTAAACCCTTGGGAACTGGGGCCAAATCCTTGGGAATAGGAGTTAAACCCTTGGGAATTGGGCTTGAACCCTTGGGAATTAAGGCTAAACCCTTGGGAATAGAAGTTAAACCCTTGGGAATTGGGGTTAAACCCTTGGGAATTGGGACTATACCCCTGGGAATTAGGGCTAAACCTCTGGGAATTGGAACTAAACCCTTGGGAACTGGAGCCAAAGGCCTGGGAATGGGGGCTAAACCCCTGGAAACTGGAGCTAAGCCTATGGGAATGGGGGGTAAACCCTTAGGAATAGGGTTGGGAAGGGCCCATGGAACACGGGAGCTTCCCAAGCAGTTGCTGCGGGAGGGACAGGCAGGATCCCAGCCTCTGTTCATCCTGGGGGTGGGAGGGGAAGGAATCCCTGGGGACAAGAGCGGTTTCCTTGAGACCCTTCCCGGCAGCCGGGCTGGGGTCAGGGGTTTGGGAAGCAGGGATTTGGGATGGAGGGGGGGCACAGAGTCCCTCGGGGTGGCTGGAGGGGACAGGGACGTGCAGTGGGAATTGATGCAGTGGGAATTGGGAATCAGTGCAGTGGGAATTGGTGCATTGGGAATTGGGAATCGGTTCATTAGGAATCGGTGCGTTGGGAATCACTGCTGTGGGAATCGGTGCAGTGGGAATTGGGAATCAGTGCAGTGGGAATCAGTGCATTGGGAATCGCATTGGGAATCGGTGCATCAGGAATCAGTGCAGTAGGAATCGGTCCATTGGGAATCGGTGCAGTGGGAATTGGGAATCAGTGCAGTGGGAATCGGTGCATTGGGAATTGCATTGGGAATTGGGAATCAGTGCAGTGGGAATCAGTGCATTGGGAATCGCATTGGGAATCTGTGCATCAGGAATCAGTGCAGTAGGAATCGGTCCATTGGGAATCGGTGCATTGGGAATCAGGAATCAGTGCAGTGGGAATCGGTCCATTGGGAATTGGTGCAGTGGGAATCAGTGCAGTCGGAATCGGTGCAGTGGGAATCGGGAATCAGTGCAGTGGGAATCGGTCCATTGGGAATCGGTGCAGTGGGAATTGGGAATCAGTGCAGTGGGAATCAGTGCATTGGGAATCGCATTGGGAATCAGTGCGTCAGGAATCAGTGCAGTGGGAATCAGTCCATTGGGAATCAGTGCGTCGGGAATTGGGAATCGGTGCATCGGGAATCGGTGCATCGGGAATCAGTTCCCTGGGAATCAGTGGGTGGAGGGGGCAGAGGCCCCGCTGCCAGCATCACCTCTGAGCCAGGATTTCATCCATCGATTCCAAACATCGGGAATTCCAATGAAACCCCATGGCTGCATTGGAAACCCCAACAAACCCCAATGACGGCAGCGCCCGGCCCGCTCTCACCATCACAGCCCGGATGGGTTCATCCCAGTGCCTGGCATGGGATCCAGGTATCCCAAACTCCATCCTCATCCCGCTCCCTGCAGCCCCGTTTGGAGAGGGAAAACGTGGAAAACCAAAGCTCTGCACGTTAATAAAGGCAGCAGAAAAGGAGCCCCGGTCAATGGGTGAGGGAGGATGGGGCAGGCGCTTCCCAAGGGATCTCCGGGCTTGGTCCCGCTCCCCATGGGAGCTGTGCGGGTGTCCCCAGCTCCCATCCCCTTCTCCTCCCTCCCTGTCCATCGGGAGCAGCTCCAGGGCAGGGATGAGCCCCTGGAAGCCTCAAAGCCACCCAAAGAGGGCCCTGATGGGATGGAGCAGGGGGGAACCCCTGGTGCTGCAGACCCAGGGAGAGCGGCTCCTTCCCTTCCAATCCCAAATCCAGACCCCGTGGGATGAGCCGGCCCCATTCGGGAAGGGACCGGTGTGTGAGGGTCCCTGCAGGTTCGGGTGGCTCAAGAGCATCCCCACGGCCTCGCCACTCCCATCTGTGCTCCACCATCAGATCCACCCAAACGTGTCCCTCAGGAGCAGGGGGCTCCTTGCAGGATGGTCCCAGCCCTGGTCCCAATGGAGCTACAGCTGCTCCCTGTGTGTGGCTGGGGACTTGTGAGGGCATTGGGGTGGAGGGAGGGATGCAGGGAGGGAGGGAAGGAGGAAAGGAGGGATGCAGGGAGGGATGCAGGGAGGGATGGAAGGAGGGATGGAGGGAGGGATGGAGGGAGGGATGGAAGGAGGGATGGAGGGAGGGATGAATAGGGATGGAATGGAGGGAGGGAGGGATAGAGGGATGGAAGGAGGGATGGGAGGGATGGAAAGAGGGATGGAAGGAGGGACTGAAGGAGGGATGGAAGGAGAATGCAAGGAGGGATGGAAGGAGGGAATGGAAGGAGGGATGGAGGGAGGGACGGAAGGAAGGATGGATGGATGATGGATGGAGGATGGAGGGAGGGATGGATGGATGGATGGATGGATGGATGGACGGAGGGATGGAAGGAGGGAGAGACGGAAGGAGAGATGTAAGGATGAATGGAGGGATAAATGGAGGAAGGGGGGGTGAATGGAGGAAGGAATGGATGGATGGATGGAGGGAGAGAGGGAGGGAGGGAGGAAGGGAGGGAGGGAGGGAAGAGAGATGTAAGGATGAATGGAGGGATGAATGGAGGATGGGATGAATGGAGGGGGGGTGGATGGAGAGAGGAAGGGATGGATGGAGGGAGAGATGAATGGATGGAGGAATGAATGGATGGATGGATGGAGGGAGAGATGAATGGATGGAGGGAGGGATGGAAGGAGGGAGGAATGAAGGGATGGCATCCATCACCTTCCATGACCAATCAACCCTCTCGGTTGATACGGGTGTGTTGGCCGTTGTCCATCCGGATTTCTCCAAGGTTTTCCATCTGGTTTCCTATAGCCTCATCCTAGGGACATGGATGTGCCATGGCCTTGACGAGTGGTCCATGTAGTGGTGGGGGGGGGAACTGGCCAATCAGCAGCACCCTGACTGGGACCTGGCACTGCTGGGGTGCGCCAGGGCCCAATCCTGTTCAAGGTCTCCCATGAGTGACCTGGGTGATGGGATCAAGCGTTCCCTATGGGGTCTGCCGATGGCACCAAACTGAGTGGGGACGTGCTCAGGACACAGGGCTTGGAGCAATGGTGTTGGGAACCGGAGGAGCTTTAAGCTGCCTTCATCCCAACCCATTCCATCATTCCATGCTCTGGGAAAAGCTGGAGTTTTCCCTGCACAAGCCCATCTCCGGCACCTGGGCCACCAGCAGCATTCCCCACACTGCAGATCCCAAAGGGGAGATGGAAACACTGGGATCGTTCACCTGGATGCTGCAGTGCTCCCGTGCCACATCCAGCCACTGGCCTGCAGGAGCCCCATTTCCCCCTTGCTCCCCATCCCTGTGGTACCTGCACATCCCAGGGCTGATCCCACCACGTGGGGCTGTGCTGGTCCCTTGAGGAGCCAGGGCCCCCAAGCGATGGGGTAAGGGCAGGAGGAGGGCAGCCAGACCCCCCCTTCACTGTGAGGAAGCCAAAGGAAGCAGTGATAACACATTCAAACCAATGTGGGGGCACAGAAACCAGCACCCCCCAAAGCACCCGGCTCGGGGTCTGCTCCACTCAGGCCTTCACCCAATGGAGGCTTCCCAGCAGCTCCCGGTGCCGATGGGAATGATGCTGAGCGGGAGCGGAGCAATGGGATGAGCCAAGCAACAGCAACTATGGGGGAGCTGCTCCATTCCCAACTCTGAGACCCAACAGCATCCTCCTCTCCCAGCGCTGAAGGCCCAAACGCTGCTCAAATCCCAGCACAGCTCCAAAGCAAGGAATAACGCGGTGGGATCCGTGTCAAGGAGGAGGCACAAGCGGTTACAGCCCCACAAACAGCCCTAGGGCATCAACCCTCGTGTGTCAGAGCAAAGGAAGCAGCTGGAGCGGCCGGAATCAAACCCTGCTTGTCTGGAAGTGAAGCATCACGGGTCATGGAGCACCAGGAATGTTGGGATCAAGCCTTGATCTCCCTCCCATCCCCTCTTCCTGAGGCCGGGTGAACATGGAGAAGGTCAGCGCTGGGAGCATCCATCCCTCCATCCATCCATCCATCCATCCAACCATCCATCCCTCCATCCATCCATCCACCCATCCATCCACCCATCCACCCATCCATCCATCCACCCATCCATCCCTCCATCCACCCATCCATCCATCCCTCCATCCATCCCTCCATCCATCCATCCATCCATCCCTCCCTCCATCCACCCATCCATCCATCCATCCCTCCATCCATCCCTCCATCCATCCATCCATCCATCCATCCCTCCAACCATCCATCCATCCATCCCTCCAACCATCCATCCATCCCTCCATCCATCCCTCCATCCATCCACCCATCCACCCATCCATCCCTCCATCCATCCATCCATCCCTCCATCCATCCCTCCATCCATCCAACCATCCATCCATCGCTCCATCCATCCATCCATCCCTCCCTCCATCCTTCCATCCCTCCATCCACCCATCCATCCATCCACCCATCCCTCCATCCATCCACGCCGCTTCCTGCCTCCTGCACTCCGGGTCTGAGGACGGGCAGCACCGTGGATGCTCTGGCAGAGGGGATGGAGGGTGATTTGACGCTTTAATTCGCATTAACTTTGAACTAACTTGGGAACAGGTCGGAAAGGGTGGAAAATCCACCGGGAAATCGCATCCCTCCTCACCCAGCTGCTGCCGTCAGCCCTGCCCCTGCTCCTCACGCAGTCACGGAAGGGTTGGGGTTGGAAAGGACCCCAAGCTCAGCCAGTTCCGACCTCATCCTGCAGGGAGCAGCTCTCGCCCCTGATTCAGCTCCTGAGGCCCCCGGGGATCCTCGGAGCCGTTGTCACATCCCCGCTACAGGAGGATCCCAAACACCTTCCGAAAGCCACGTTCCACCTTGGCACACGCTCCGGGGTGGGAGAAGGGGTGGAAAGGAGGGGGACAGAACGGATCCCTTCAGGGATCGATGCAAAGCCAGGCGCAGGCACTGCCAGGAGGAGGAGGAGCAGCACCGCGGATGGAAGAGGCTGCTCCCAACCACCGCAGGCAGCACAGGGACACGATCCCTGCTCATCGCGGCTGGCTCATGCCCAGCCTGGGAAAGGAGCTGCTGCAGCACCCTCAGCCCTCTCGCTGGGTGTTTGCTGGAGGCAGGATGGATGCGGTGCAGCCAGAGGATGGTGCTGGGGCTGCAGCAGCGCTGCGGGTGCTGCTCTAGGAGGATGCTGCTCTAGGAGGATGCTGCTCTAGGAGGATGCTGCTCTAGGAGG